CCTGTTTGGCTGCGGAGAAGAGGACGCTTTGGACTGGAGGCGTCCCACGCGCGCTCAGGGTGGCGTTGGCTGTGGGGGGACCAGAGAAGGGCTCTACCCCGACCCCAGCCCCTCTATCTGCCCCCTCCCCAGGCAGCCCAGTCTCCCCCATACCAAACACCGAGATGTCCACGTTGATGTAGGCCACGGCGCGCTCCTGCAGCTTGCAGAAGAACTCCTGCGGGGAGGGGCGGCGTCAGGGAGGGGCCCGGCCCCGGGATCCCCTTGATCGCCTGCCCTGGAGGCTCACTCACCTCCGTGAATTCTGTGGAGCCAATGAGCCCAAACTCCTCTGCCCCCCAGCTCGCAAACACGATCGATCTGCGGGGGCGCCAGGTGCCTGGGACAGGGATAAAGGGTTAGAGGGCAGGGCCCCCCAGATCCTGGGGTGACTCAGAAAGGTTGGGGACGTGGAGAGGGCGGAGGGCTGGGGGTAGGTCCTGGTACCTCTCCAGCCAAGTTTTCCCAGAGGCTCCCTCCTCTGCTGTGACACCCCACCAGCACCCCAACATTGCCCTCAACACCAGTATCCCTCAGTCAGGTGGTCCCCTCCCCAGGCGCCCTGCCTCCCTCTTCGTTAGAGGCGCGCTTGAGAAGCATCCTGACCCTCCAGCTCCAACTCCCTTCTCCACCCACCATCCTAGAAACACTGGCCCACAGGCTTCCCCTGGGGAAGCCCTCAGATAGTTTCTTTGTACCCATCACACTTGTCCTTACATGCAGGCGCTCTGGGGGTTCACGGTGGGACCTCCGGTGCTTAGGGGCCTGACATGTAGTGGCACCGAGACACATGTGCTGAGTTAAGGACTGTCATTCCTGCCTCAACTGGGCTGAAGCTCGTGGAGGCAGAGCCTGGACACTGCCTTGCTCACAGCGGCATCTAGGCCTCCCTCCATCCAGAAGCTACTCTCAGAAGCTACTGTACGAATTAATCAGTGGTCCGGTCCGGTCCCTGTACCACACTGGGCTACTCGAGGCCACGGCTGGTGTCCACACCTGTCTGCCTCCAGGGCCCTCAGGCACAAGGGGGCACTGGAGAATGAAACAGGAGGTGGGACGAAGTCCAGAGCCAGGAAGGAGTGGGTTTGGAGGTGACCTCCCGGGGGACAGTTCCTGGGTCGGGGGGGGGCTCACCCTTCTTTAGCAGGGTCCCCAGAACGCGGGAGAGCTCCAGGAGGACAGCAGTGCCACTGCTGGGGTCCACGGCCCCGTGCACCCAGCTGTCCCGGTGGTTTCCATAGAGCACATAGCGGTCTGGGGGGAGGAGGAGAATCAGAAGCCAGAGAAGAGGGTGGGTCAGCCAGGCAGGGGGGAGGGCGCAGTCAGGGGCCTCAGAGCAGGGCTGCTCCTGGGGGCTCACCAGGCTCCACAGCCCCGCGGATGATCCCCAGGACGTTGGAGGAGTTCCGCAGCTCCAGGCGGTTGTGAACACTCAGGTTCACCTGGCTGGGGAGTGAAGGGGACGGCAGAGTGTTGGCCCTGCTCCCCCACCCCCACCTCTCCCGCCCGCTCTCTGCCCCAGTGCAAGAGAAACAGGCCCAGGGCGGAACAGGACAGGGAGTGCCCAGAAGTACCAGGAGAGGCAGTAAGGCTAGAGCCCAGCTCTTCAGATTCCTGTTCTCCTTTTCATTCCCTCCCTCGCTCAGTGCTTATCAGATACTTGGTGATGCCGGCACCGCACGAGGGTCTGGGCAGTGATGGACATGGACCCAGCCTTTGGGGGCCTCCCTCTCCTGAGCCAGA